GTTCATTATTGTTGATCTTAATTTTCATTTTTTTTTTTCAATCATGTTATCAATTGATCTCTCTTTCTTTCAGGGATCCGAGGATGCAGCCGTGGATGAGCCTATGGATTGGGATAAAGTAAGTTGTTTACAATTGTAGACTATGTAATGAAAAACCTTGATTGCCAGGGTCAATCAAAATATCATACTTTAGAGGCTGAAAGGACTTACTTGATTTCTTTCTATTAAATTGCAGTTCCCGCCAGTAGATGATTGGCTAGCCAGCAAATCTGGCGAGGTATGTCTACTTTTTATTGATATTCATATTTTGGAATTATCTCTTTTCTCCTCTTAAAATGATTTTACTTCAATTCACTATATATGGAAGTGATAGAAAATAACACTAACACAATTTTTTGTGGTAATTGAGAATCTGAGATACACCACCCTATCACTTAGTATTATACTAAATAATGTGCCAACCAAGCAGAACATTTTTTCTTGAATAGGCTGCATGGTTGTGAATAATTTTTAAGATTAAAAAATGAAATCATATCTCCCTATCTGCTAACGATCTCCATAATCAAAGTATGATTTCTATTTAATTTGTGAGACATAGGAATAGATATATCATTAATAGATAAGCATCATCCAAAATTTACATGTAAATAAATTAATATAAAATATTATTAATTGACTTTGTACGCCATACAATTCCTTCAATCTTCCACTTGCACAAAATAATCAAGGCCATTAGCATATCAATTATATACAAATTTTAAATAATGTTCCTCAAAAACTTTATGCTAATGATTATTGATACATATGCCGAATTGAAAATAAGGGATTAGATGATCATATTACTGGAGAAATTGATTGTTCATGTTATGGCCGAATGTGGACGTTCACGCTCTCACCTAGCTTCCTACATATTTTAGCAAAGGGGAATGGTAAAAATGTGTACCTTTCTCGGCCTTTTGGCTAAGATCAAGGGAAGATAAAAATGTGGCAAGGTGAAAAAGGTTAAAATTCTATTTGGGTGCCTTAACTTTTGTACAGAGTTTTTTTTGTCCTGAACTCAAAAAATCCTCTCTAGTTCCTCAAGTTTATTTTTTGACCTTTTTTTAATCCCTTTATCAGTTAAGTGATGATATGGCACCATATTCCGTTAAGTCTTTTTATTATTTATTCATTTATTTAAATAACATGGAAATTAGAGTGCTAGGTAAAAGGTTTTTGAAAAATAATTGAAGGATAACTTTTTTATACTATTTTTGGGATAACTTTTTTATATTATCTTTTGATATAATTTTACATATTATTTAAATAATTAGTTCTTTTTATTCACTTAAAACTTATGATATTAAGTGCATCAATTCATTTAATGCAATATAGAAGTTGTATAAAAAAAATTGTACAAAAAAAATTATATTTATATCATTACCCAAGGTTTGTTTTTTATGATATGGCAAGTTAAAGTGAACTCATTTGATGATGTGACAAAATGAAATTTATTTATCTTAATTAAATATTGAAAACAATTTATTTATGAAATTACAAAATCACCCTTGCCCATCATCCCTCCAAATCCTTTCTATGCCTACATTCTTGTCATTCTCTCTCTCTCTCTCTCTCTCTCTCTCTCTCTCTCCAATCTATGTTTGATTCTTTGTCCTTGTCCTTGTCTTGCTTTCTATCCCATTTCTTTTATCATTATTGATCTCAATCCATATCTAAGATTGCAGTTTCTCAATCCATTAGTGCCAATCAACACAAGGTAATCTATAATAGGGGATGATCATGACCACAGAGTTGCTGCGTATGGAGTCGATGCAACGCATTTAACCCACAAGAAATTTGATATGGAGATAGAATATAGAGCTAGACCCATATAAGAGAACAGGGGTATAGTTTGCCATTTTCACTGGTCACCAATTGCCATTCGCCATTTTTGGCTTGATGTGAAGAGAGAAACACATGACATTTTGAGCACAATAAATTAATCTTGCGGAAAGGAGGTAAAGGGGACATTCGATTGTTTCCTTCATGTGGTCCCCCTCAAGTCATCTCCAAGTTCTTGATCCGAGCATGCCACATATCCATTCTAGAGTATTCCTTAAAAAGGGCAGTTACTTGGGATATTCTATAGGATTCTTGGGTTTGGGCTAAGTTCCAATGGACTTGGCCCTTTCATGTCATACTTTTGGTATAACAGAGCTACATAAAGGTTTGCGTCTCCATATATGAGATGGATCGATGGGTTTAGGGTTTTGTTCCCAATTTCTAATTTAATTTTGTTATTTTGTTTAGGGATTTCTTCTTTGATTTCTTTTGGAATTTTTGAGTTTGAATGTACAGGATGATAGATTTTTTTTTATTTTTTTTTTATTTTGAATGAGAACCAAGATTTGAAGATTGAGAGAGTTTGAAAGTGAGGTTGTAGTAGTTCAGGGTGGTGGTGATAGTGATGATGGTGATAAGTTTCTGTTGAAATTAGAGAAATGATTTGGTGATGGTGAGGGTTTGTAGAGAAAAATTGAAGATGAAAATTAAAGCATGGAAAAGAGAGAAGAGAAAACAGAGAGAAAGGCATATTAAAATATTATTGAATAACATGAAATTGTCGCATATGGAGCCTTTATATAGATGCTTAGATAACACACTACCCAAGAAACCCTAAATCTATCATAATAACAATAATATTAAATTTAAGATTTACTCCCATAATTATATGAATCATATCTTATAATATCTCTGCCATGAGAGAGTTTGAAAGTGAGGTTCTAGTAATCAATGGTGGTGGTGATAGTGATGATGGTGATAAGTTTCTGTTGAAATTAGGGAAATGATTTGATGATGTTAAGGGTTTGCAGAGAAAAATTGAAGACAAAGGCATCTGATTCC